TTTATGATCTTGATTTTGATGCTATTCTCTCTGCTATGTATGCTGTGACTGGTAGTGATGAGGATGACTGTTACCGGTGTTTCCCGCCCGACCTGGGCATTGGTACTGCCGCGTCAGGTACTAGTGAGGCTGCTGCTCTAGGTGCCAGTGCGTCTGTGCTCTCAGGTGCTGGTGAGTCTGCCCTCTCAGGTACTGTGTCGGCTTCGGCCTCTCACACCTTCACCCTTGACTCTGGAGCGTCTCGCTCCTTCTTTAGGGACCGCACCACTCTCACGCCGCTGAGTCGGCCGGTTGCGGTGTCCCTGGCTGACCCCTCTGGGGGGCCTGTCCTGTCTCGCTTCTCCACTGTCCTCCCGTGTCCGGCGGCCCCCTCTGGCACCCTGACTGGTCTCTACCTCCCCTCGTTCTCGACGAACTTGGTGAGTGGTGCTGACCTCCAGGATGCGGGTGTCCACCAGTTCACCCCTGCTCGTCAGCGGGTGACCCACTGCACGGAGGCGGATACAGGTCGCCACCTGGCTACGTTTACACGTCGACCAGGGTCGAGCCTGTACACACTGACCACTGCTTCTCCTCCAGGTGCTACGTCTGGTAGGGTCCCTTCGTCTGGTCAGGTGTTTGCTGCAGCGTCCAGGTCTGGTCCTGAGTCTGCCCCCTGCTCGTGTCGTCGTCTGTCTCACGAGACCCTCCTCTGGCACCACCGCCTTGGCCACCCCTCTCTGCTTCGGCTCAGAGGCATGGCCTCGCGAGTCCTTGTGTCTGGTCTTCCCCAGTCTCTCCCTCCCCTTCCTCCGGGCCCTGGCCCTACCTGTGTTCCCTGTGTCGAGGGGCGCCAGCGTGCTGCCCCTCACTCCTCCCAGTTTCCTCCGACAGAGGCCCCGTTGCAGACGCTTCACATGGACGTGTGGGGCCCAGCCCGCGTCCGTGGACAGGGTCAGGAGCGCTACTTCCTGCTGGTGGTTGACGACTACTCGCGTTACACCACAGTCTTCCCCTTGCGCAGCAAGGGTGAGGTCACTGAGGTGTTGATCAACTGGATCCGCGCAGCTCGTCTCCAGCTTCGGAGGAGCTTTGGCTCTGACTTCCCTGTTCTGCGTCTGCACTCGGACAGAGGCGGAGAGTTCTCCTCTGGCCTCCTGAGTGCCTACTGTCGTGCGCGAGGCATCCGTCAGACCTTCACGCTTCCGGACTCACCACAGCAGAATGGGATTGCTGAGCGCCGCATTGGCATGGTCATGGACGTCGCTCGTACGTCCATGATGCATGCGACTGCTCCCCATTTTCTGTGGCCGTTTGCGGTCAGGTACGCTGCGCACCAGATCAACCTCCACCCCAGGGTCTCTCGACCGGAGACCTCCCCAACCCTGCTGTGGACGGGGAAGGTTGGCGATGCGTCGGCGTTCCGGGTCTGGGGATCTCGGGCGTTTGTTCGCGACCTGTCTGCGGACAAGCTGTCCCCTCGTGCTTCTCCCTGCGTCTTCCTGGGGTTCCCCCCCGACGCCCCTGGGTGGCAGTTTTACCACCCCACCTCTCGACGTGTTTTGTCCTCCCAGGACGTCACGTTCGACGAGTCGGTACCCTACTACCGCCTCTTCCCCTACCGCACTCCGTCCCTCCCCCCACCCCCGCTCTTCTTGGTACCAGGTCCCCCCCCGGTAGTCCCCCTCCCCCCTCAGGGTCCTGCCCCTTCAGATGTGTCCCAGGTAGACGCGTTCGAGCCTGTCGAGGTCACTGGTGACTCTGGTGCTGCTGCGGGAGCTGAGCCTGGGGGTGCGGAGTCTGAGGGTGCTGAGCCTGGGGGTGCTGAGCCTGGGGGTGCTGAGCCTGGAGGTGCTGTGCCTGGGGGTGCTGTGCCTAGGGGTGCTGAGCCTGGGGGTGCTGCGCCTGGGGGTGCTGTGCCTGGGGGTGCTGAGCCTGGAGGTGCCGAGCCTGGGGGTGCTGTGCCTGGGGGTGCTGTGTCTGGGGGTGCTGAGCCTGGGGGTGTTGTGCCTGGGGGTGCTTCGTCTCGCCGGGAGCCACTCTCCCCACAGGAGCTGCGTGAGTGGTTTGCCAGGCGCTGGAGGCGTGCTGCTGGTGCTGGTGGTTCTTCGGCTGCAGAGGGTACTGCTGCCGCGCGTCCCGCCAGTGCTCGTACTGTGGGTGCTGGAGCTGCTGGGTCTGAGAGTTCTCCTGGAGCTGGTACTGCTGAGGGTGTTGGCGCTGAGCCTGCTGTTGGCGGTCCGACTGACAGTGCTCCTGGTGCTGCTGCTGGAGGTTCTGGAGCTTCGGGTGGTGCTGCTGGAGGTGCTGCTGGAGTGGGTGCTCCTGCCGGGGCTGCTGGTGCTGTTCCTGCTGTTTCTAGTGTCGCCGCGCGGCCCCGACCGTACTTCGTTCCGCTCCTGCAGCAGGTTCTTGGTCTTCCACCTCCTCCTCCTCCTCCCTTAGAGGGTCCGCAGCCTGTCCGGTCACAGCCACAGCTACAGCCTGCCTCCCCTTTGCCTGCTCCTTCTCCCTACGCTGGTCCGACTGGAGGTCTTACTGAGCGTCGTGAGCCTGCGTCTCGTCCTGTGTCGCCTGTTCGTACTGAGCGCGCTAGTGGTCGCGGGTCGCGTCAGCGTCCTCCTCCTGTCCCTGGCACGCACCGGATGTCACTGCGTCCGTCCACTGCTCCTCTGCGTGCCCCTTTGCCTTCTCCTCCTGCTTCCTCTCTTCCTGCTCTTGCCGACCCGGAGTCGGACTCTCTTCGTGCTGCCAGTCCTACTGTCACGCGTCTCCTTGCTACTGCTGTCACTGACCCTTCCTTCGAGTCGTCTGCTGCGTCTGCCCTTGTCACTGAGCTTGTCGACTTTGCTGCGCGCTGTCGTCTAGACTACGCTGCTCGTCTTGTCACTGAGTCTGAGTCCGCCTGTCCTCCGTCCGTCGGGGGTGAGTGTGCCCTTGGCACGGACGTCCTTGAGGACAGGCAGGAGGAGTTCCAGTGTCTGGCCGCCGCTTCACCTCGTCTCGCGTCTGTACTGCTAGCCCCTGAGGGAGACCCGGATGCACCAGACATCCCGACTCCGCGCTCTTACGCGGAGGCGATAGAGGGTCCCTACTCCTCTCAGTGGCAGGCAGCTATGGATGCAGAGATGGCTTCCTGGAAGTCCACAGGCACCTACGTTGACGCTGTTCCCCCTCCTGGGGCGAACATCGTCAGTGGCATGTGGATTTTCAGGGTGAAGCGGCCGCCGGGTTCTCCGCCTGTCTTCAAGGCGCGTTACGTGGCTCGTGGCTTCAGTCAGCGGCAGGGGGTTGACTACTTTCAGACCTTCTCCCCCACCCCGAAGATGACCACTCTTCGGGTTCTGCTGCACGTTGCTGCTCACCGTGACTACGAGCTGCACTCTCTCGACTTCAGCACAGCTTTCTTGCAGGGCAGCCTGCACGAGGAGATCTGGCTGCGTCGCCCACCTGGCTTCACTGGGTCTTTCCCTCCTGGTACCCAGTGGAGTCTCCGGCGTCCAGTCTACGGTCTCCGCCAGGCGCCACGTGAGTGGCACGACACACTGAGGACTACGCTCGCGGCACTTGGGTTTGCTCCTTCTACTGCCGACCCGTCGCTGTTTCTGCGCACCGACACCTCTCTGCCGCCGTTCTACATCCTCGTGTACGTCGACGACTTGGTCTTTGCCACAGCTGACACTGCTGGACTCGCCTACGTGAAGTCCGAGCTGCAGAAGAGACACACGTGCACTGACCTGGGTGAACTGCGCAGCTACCTTGGCTTGCAGATCACCCGGGACAGAGCACGCCGCACCATTACCCTGACTCAGTCACACATGGTGCAGCAGGTCCTTCAGCGCTTCGGCTTCACGTACTCCTCGCCTCAGGCCACTCCTCTGCCTACTCGCCACTCGCTCTCAGCTCTGCCTTCGGATGAGTCCGTAGAGTCGAGTGGCCCGTTTGCAGAGCTTGTTGGCTGCCTCATGTACCTGATGACCTGCACACGACCTGACCTCGCATACCCTCTTAGCATTCTCGCACGCTTTGTTGCTCCTGGGAGACACCGACCAGAGCACATGGCTGCAGCGAAGAGGGTGTTGCGCTACTTGTGCAGTACGTCGGGCATGGGGCTAGTGCTTGGAGGGCGCAGTCCAGTGGTCCTCACTGGGCACGCAGACGCTTCTTGGGCTGACGACCAGGCTACGCAGCAGTCGTCACAGGGTTACACCTTCAGCCTTGGTTCCGGCTCTGTCTCGTGGCGGGCTACCCGCTCGTCTTCTGTTCTCGGCTCCAGTTGTGAGGCTGAGATCTACGCTGGGGCTATGGCTGCACAGGAGTTACGCTGGCTCACCTACCTGCTGACCGACCTTGGAGAGCAGCCTCGTTCTCCTCCAGTCCTGTACGTAGACAACAAGGCCATGCTGGCCTTGTGTCGAGAGCAGCGACTGGAGCACAGAACGAAGCACATTGCTCTCCGCTACTTTCTTGCTCGTGAGCTACAGCAGCGTGGACAGTTGCGACTTGCGTACGTGGCCTCTGAGGCCAACACTGCTGATGTCTTCACCAAGGCACTTGCGCCTTGTGATCATCAGCGTTGTTGCACGCAGTTGGGTCTTGTGCCTGTCTTGCCTCACTTGCTCTCCTCTTGACCTTGCTTGTACCTTCGCCTATATATACTCTTGCTTTTGCTTGCTTGACTCTTGTATATCTCTATATATGATCTTGCATTTGAACTGGCCTTCTGGCCTTTGAACTTGTGCTCGGAATGCGTGGTGACTTTGTGATCCACCCTGAGCTTTGCTTTGCTTTGCTTGACTGGTCTTGTAACCCCTTGTTCTCCCCCACTTTGCCTATGGGGGTGTGTCAGAACATATAGCTTACTTGTTTCTGTAGGCTATAGTGGGGTATCCCATAGGGGGTACAACACAATTAGGGTTTCCTATTTGTATTCACTTCACTACATAGTCATTCATTCTCGTTCTTTGATTTCACAGACAGGACCCCCAGAGGGGTCAGCCAGAGACACCGCAACCGGCCGACTAAGCGGCGTGAGTGTGGTGCGGTCTTGAAAGAAGGAGCGAGACACCCCAGAGTCAAGGGTGAAGGTGAGGGAGGCCGAAGCCGACGTAGTACCTGAGAGCGCAGACTCACCAGTACCTGAGGACGCAGACACACCAGCACCTAGAGCAGCAGCGCCGCACGCACCTAGGGCAGCAGCCGTACCAGTACCTAGAGTAGCAGTCTCAATGCCCGGATCGGGCGGGAAACACCGGTAACAGTCACCCTCATCACTAATAGACACAGCATACATGGCAGAAAGAATAGCATCAAAGTCAAGATCAAAGATGGCCACACCCGCCCTAGACAGCTCGCCCCAGCGAGGGATCTCTGAGGCCTCTGGGAACTGGTGACGCCACGTGTCCGTAAGGCGGCCAAAGCAGCGCTGGGTGGGGTGCGCACCCCCACACTGCTCACCCGCACGGTCGCCGGTGCGCAGGACGTAGGTGCACGGACCAAAACCCCCACCCCGCTGGCGTGCAGTGTACCACTCACGGAGCTGCTGAGGTGACAGGGTCTCACGACCGCGCTGCTGCTGCTGGCGCGAGCCACCACCGGAGCCACTCCTCTGCGACGACCCGCGACCAGCTCCACCGCCACCCCCACCGCCTCCGCCTCCTCCGCTGCCTCCACCACTGCCGCCGCCTCCGCCGCCGCCTCCACCGCCGCCTCCTCCGCCACCTCCGCTCCCACCGCCACCGCCGCCGCCGCCTCCGCCTCCACTGCCACCACCGACCCCTCCACCCCCACCTCCACTCCCACCGCCACCCCCACTCCCCCCACCGCCTCCACCTCCACCTCCACCGCCCGCTCCTCCAGCTCCCTTGCCCCCCTTGCCCTTGCCAGGGCGGCGTCTCCCGCTAGGGGCAGACGCCGCGCCGACCGACTCAAGACCAAGGAGGTCGGCCGCAGCAGCAGAGGCAACAGAGGGCAGCAGGGGGGAGGGAGAACACCCCTCAAAGATGGGGGTGCGCGGGTCACCTCGAGAGGCTCCTACAGCGAGGATGCTCTTCTCTATCGCTAGGAGGGCCTTTTCCAGGAGGTCTACGGTGAGCGTGGTGGGACAGACTGAGAGAAAGTGGTCCCTGACTACGCGAAGGGAGTCAGGGAGGCGAGTGACTAGGAAGTACAGAGTGATGTACATGGGGGGGGGGTTCGCGGCGCAGAATTCAGCATGGAGTGCAGCGCGGTAGCGAGTGTCACTAGTGCGGAGGTGCGTGATGAGGTCAGCTACGGTGGGAAAAGCAGCAAGGTCAGGGAAGAGGTACGGCAGCATGAGACGGCTCAGTGCAGCAGTGGCAGGGGAGGAGTAGCGCGCGACTACTGCGTCGTACAAGGTCTGAGCACTCTTGTACTGGCTAAAGTGCGCACGCTCGGAGGTAGGGAGGTGGCGACGCAGAGCAAGACGTGCAGCAGCGTCGCGCGTGGCCCACTGGGAGCGAACAGTGGCGTCAGCATTAGCAGCAGGGGCAGGGGAAGCGCCAGAGGTAAGGTCAAAGAGAGAGAGGCCGTCTGCCCTATCGCACTGTAGGAACAGCTGCAGGTCGTCGACCCAGACCTCAAAGTCTACGGCTCGTCCCTCAGCGTCAAACGTGAGGACACTAGGGGTAGCCATGACTACAGATGACGAGCAGTGTAAACAGTAGGGGAGGGAGGGCCGTGCAGGGGGAGAAGGCACTGTGCTCACCAGACAGGGCAGCTCTGACGGTCCAGCTGCTGGGCGGCTCGGTGACAGAGCGGCTCGGCGGCAGGGCGGCTCGGCGGCAGGGCGGCTCGGCTTCCGGGCAGCTCGGCGGCAGGGCGGCTCGGCTTCCGGGCGGCTCGGCGGTAGGGCGGCTCGGCGGCAGGGCGGCTCGGCGGCAGGGCGGCTTGGCTTCCGGGCGACTCGGCGGCAGGGCGGCTCGGCGGCAGGGCGGCTCGGCTTCCTGGCGGCTCGGCGGCAGGGCGGCTCTCGTGCAGGGCGGCGCGGCGGCGCTCTCGTGTAGGTATGGCGGCGGGTGAGCCGCAGTTAGGGCGGCGGGTGCGCCGCAGGTAGGTCGGCGGGTGGCCGCAGGTAGGGCGGCGGGTGCGCCACAGGTAGGTTGGCGGGTGGCCGCAGGTAGGGCGGCGGGTGCGCCACAGGTAGGTCGGCGGGTGGCCGCAGGTAGGGCGGCGGGTAGGGCCGCAGGTAGGTCGGCGGAGGGCCGTAGGTAAGGGCGGCGACGGGCCGTAGGTAAGGGCGGCGACGGGCCGTAGGTAGGGGGGCGACGGGCCGTAGGTAAGGGCGGCGACGAGCCGGTGCAAGGGCGGCGCGAAGCCGCGGGTAAGGGCGGCGACGGGCCGGGGCGGCGCGAAGCCGCAGGTAAGGGCGGCGACGGGCCGGGGCGGCTCGAAGCCGCAGGTAGAGGTGGCGCGAAGCCGCGGGAAGGGCGGCGACGGGCCTGGGCGACGCGAGGCCGCAGGTAGGGGCGGCGCGAAGCCGCCGGTGAGGGCGGCGCAAAGCCGCGGGTAAGGGCGGCGACGGGCCGGGAAAAAGGCGGCGCGCCGCAGCCGCTAGGGCGGCGCGACGGGCCGCTAGGTGCGACTCGACGGGCCGCTAAAAAAAAAAAAAAGGCGCGACTCGAGGCGCGCTTCGGTGGGCCCAAGGAACAGTCCCTAGGAGGGGACCTGCTCCGATTCCATGTGAGAATGAGAACGAGAATGCATCAACTATGAATGAAGTGAGTACATATAGGAAACCCTAAATGGGTTGTACCCCCTATGGGATACCCCACTATAGCCTACACAACAGCATAAGCTATAATGTTCTGACACCGGGTAGAGGCGAAAAACAGCTGCTGCTCTTCCCCCTGACCTCGCAAATATTTTTTCAAAGGTTAACTTGAATTGTCGATGACGTCAACTACCTCGGCGATGTTGTCGTGACTCGCCGAAAACTTCCGGGCAGTGGCGAAAAACAGCTGTCGCCTCTCCCCCCTTTTGTAGCAATACTTCTTCATTGTTGTCGCTGGTACCCCCGAGCAGCTTCCGATTTGTACGGCTACACAGTTGACGATGAGTGCCTTCGCGCGCTTAATCAAGCACCGCTGCAACTCCGCCGCCGGCACGGAGACTGTCATCAACCCCGCTGACTCATTCTCGGAACTGCTGGGTCCACCTGCAAATGTCGGAAATAACCACACCACGTAAAGTCTTGGTTGCCTGCATGTTGTCCCTCGAAAGAACCGGTGTTTCTATCGCGCCCACCCGGTCACCATTTTTTTCGTGCGGTTAACCACCCAAGCGACCCACCAACAGGAGGTGCTTTTTTTGCGTGGAACCCAGTACTTATGGGTCTTCCGAGACCGATTTTCACGGACCCTAGCGCGCATCAACGCCACAGATCTCGCCGTTGAACTTCCCCAAGTAAACTCTTGAAGTACACTGTGAAGCTTAAAACAACTGGCGAGTAGACGTTCACCCGTCTCCCACCGTCGAATTGTCACCTGAAAATCGTGGTTGAGGAATCAAGCCCCGAAGTTTTTTCTGCCTTGTAGCCCCGACATTTCCGCCGTTAACCCTGGTACTTCGACGTTCACCCATCTTCGTACCTGTCGAAATTACTTAGCAAATCCCAGGCATCCTTGGCAATACACCCCTCGCCGCGCCTCCATGTAACGATATCAATCTCTTTCGGGGGTCTACCGAATAGACTCCGAAATTCGCGGTGGAGAGGTGTACGGGCTCAGCCTATCACTCAAGTAGCTTGAAGCGGCACCCACAACTTTCCCTCCTTTGTTTGCTTTCGCCCCCCGACAATTTCGCATGCCGCCGTTCACCCAGCGTCCGCTTTTGTCGGATGAGACATTCTTCGTGTTGACCCGCGATTTTTCTAGCTTTCGATGAAGGCGCGAACGCAATCGTAGTCGGAGCGAGTTTATCATATCAAACTCTCAGCCGGCCGCTTCGCTATCCACCGTGCCTATCGCATTTTAAAACTCCGCAGCTTCCAGAACTCCATCTTCGCTGCTACACCGCCGTTGGGTAGACCGTTGAATCAGGAGAAACACCGCCAGCTGCCACAACTTCCTCGACTCCGACATTTTCGGCGGAGTACTATTGCCGATGGTCCGTTTTTGTCGGGGCCGAAACAGTGTCGCTTGAAGATTTTCTTGAACGCCCTGCCGTCGAACCAGCGCCACCCACGCCTTTCTAACCAACACAGGGCTAAAACACAGGGCCCCACCCTTTTATCCAGTAGCCAACAGGACTTACGAATTGCCTTCGAGGCTTTTCTAGTGTGAGGTATGTGAAACGTCGTAAGACTTGGCCGGTAGGGTGCTCCTTCTGCTACCGCCGCTTAGCCGTGAGACTCGGCCTCAGCAAAAGTCGTCGCTGTAGGTTGTTTTCTCGCCTCCTGAAGTCGGAACCCGTTTCTCTCGCCGGATCCGCATTAGTCGCAACTCCGTTTATTGTAGCCGGTAGAACCCCCGAAATTCACGGGTCTAAACGTTGCGCCGAATCGTTGTTCCGTGGTGTACTGGGTTGTCTGCAAACACAGGTACCTCTGGCCGGAGGGAACTGTGCCGCGTGAAGTGCAGAATCGGCTGCCACTGTTGCACCGAAATTTTCGTCGATGAACATTGTGCTAGAAACAGTAGTCACCCAAGCCGGAACAGTCTGGTCGTAGGCGGCCTTTTCCGAACTTTTCGGTGGTTTGAAGAACAACTTCCGTCCCACACTGTGCCGCTCTGCCGAAAAACGCCCACGACGCACCCTCCTGCAGCAACATCTGTCAGAGGTCCACTGGTGATCCCCGATCGATCCTAGGGAAGGGTTACAGGCACGTTTGCCTGGGGGGTTATGGGCGCACTGACCCGCTACTGAAACAAGCCCTTTTATCCCAATGGTCTAGTGGTTGGGATTCTGAGATGGTATCCAGAGCGAAGGTCTCGGGTTCGAATCCCGGTGTATGCACTTCGGGCATCCCAGTGCGGGGGGGTGTCAGAGGTCCACTGGTGATCCCCGATCGATCCTAGGGAAGGGTTACAGGCACGTTTGCCTGGGGGGTTATGGGCGCACTGACCCGCTACTGAAACAAGCCCTTTTTATCCCAATGGTCTAGTGGTTGGGATTCTGAGAACATCTGCCGCACCCGGGCGGGACGACGGTAGACCCCCGCTTTCTTCGGGCAGTCGCCACGCCGCCTCTACTCGCCGTCGGTTTTTCCGACGCAAATCACACATTGCGCCTGGTTGCTCGACCAGCAGTTGTTTTCCACGTGCTGCTACCCGAAATCTTTGCGCACAGTGACGACGCGCCACTTGCCGAAGACTTCCACTAGCTCGTGCGCAACGTGACGAAGACGCCCATCGCCACCTGCCGCACGCAGCTAGCTCCGTAATTGTCGCGCGCAGCTGTCGTGTCGGCGCAACGCGCACGACGATCTTGCTTCCGACAACTTCGGACGTGCGCCGACGACGAGCCTGCCGACGTCAGCCGCTACACAGCATTAACTCCGAAATTGCCGAAAACGACTACTGTTACTCACGCATTAATTGCGACGATAGCAAAAGCTGTCCGCCACCCGGGGGGAGGGAGGCCACGGTCCATCTCGACCGTCGAGGGCAAGGATCCGTCGGTGCCGCAGGAGCGCCTTGAAATTCATGGCCGCTAGGAGCAACTACCCGTTCTCCTGGCCGGCTCTTGCGCTGCTCTTGTCACCACGGCATCCTTCCCTGTCCCCCCCCCCCCCCCCCCCCCGAGGAGTATTACACTCTAAAAAATGGGGAAGCTAGGAAAGTAGCTCTGATAGTAAGTGTTACGAGTTTTATTAGACAGAGTGCGCGGAAGACTTCTATAAAGAGAGTGAATTATAGAATTACTGAATGATCAAGAATGATAAAGGAGCACGCATTTATAGGGTCGAAACCGTGCTAGGCGAGGACCTCGGGACGTGGATGGGTTGGATGTGTCGCGATTGGTGCGGGGCGACTCGGCATTGGTTCGGTGCGGAAATGTAGGCCGAGCCACCTGACGCGAAGTGCTCGGGCTGTACCCGTTAAGGCAAGGCTACAGTAAGGAATTGGCAAATTCCCTACACTCAATCTGGGATGGATCCGGGCTACAAGTTGATCATGTGCACTGAATGTAAAATCAGTCTACCTAAGACTCTAAAGATATTTCAATGCTCTTCATCACCAATGTACTATACCTGACAAATCCTTATGTAAATCGTAGTGTTCCCCTCCTTCCGCTTCGTCATATTGCTCCAGCTGTGCTTTTTAGGCTAGAGTTGAGCCAATTGCTCACTGTCATACGTTTTTAGCCATACCTCAATCATGCGTGATGCACAAGTTAGTGGCTTAGCCGTTGTTCTAAGCTTGACGGCAGCATCCTTCCACTCGTCTCCTACCAGGGTGCTGTAGCCCCACCTCAAGAACCCAGCTGGCAGAATGATGCCCACAAATCAATGCATACTTTCCCTCCAATCAGTGCTTCTGGTGAAAGGCCGGCCTTCTCACAAGCGAGGCATGCTTTCTCAGCAGCAAGCAACTAGGCGAGTCAATTTAGGCATCATCATCATCCCACTGGGCCACCACGGGTGAGGTGCCCGAATTAAACCGAGAAGCACCGACAGCGGAAAGTCCGACTTTC